TAAACTTTCATCACTTTCAACAGAACTTCCATCAATTTTGTTTCTCGCCATAGTCCCTTCGAGAATACAGAGTATAGGCAACATCCCCATTCCACCCCCTGTAGTTCCTTGGCGCTTGTCATCCATTTTCCACAAGGACACCATAATTCAATCGGAACCCTTCTTCGTATCTGCAGATCGATTGAGTGATACGCAAATCGTAGAGTTCATTGAATTTCGTATGATCTATTGATCTAAGTTTCAAAGAGGCGGTCAAACGATTTGTGGATTTGATTAGTTGGAATTGAAATTGTGGAGAATGGAGCAGAGCAGGAGAGCGGTGGAGTCGTACTGGAGGTCGAGAATGATCGACGGTGTGACCTCCGACGAGGATAAGGTTACTCCGGTTTACAAATTGGACGAAGTTTGCGATTTGCTGAGGTCGTCGCATGTCTCTATCGTCAAAGAGGTGTCCGAATTCATCCTGAAGCGCCTTGACCATAAATCTCCGATCGTTAAACAAAAGGTTCTTTCATTTTCTCTGGCTATTATTGATTTTTTTCGTAATTTTGGTTAATTAATGTGTTTTGGGTTATGTTTTTGTTTATTTATTTATTTATCTTTTGTGGTTCTTTCTCACTTGAATGGATTAGGATACTTAATTGAGGATGAGTGTTGCCTTATACTTATCCCGATAGTTGTAGACTAGCACAAGTTCTGCAAATAAAGGACTTGTTTGATGATCAGTTGAATTGTTTTCCTGAGTCTCATTAGTCATGAAGATTCATATCTTTCTTTATAAACCGGTTTGCTGAAAACAAATGTGTCCTTTTGAACTTCCTACAAGATCTTGCCCCACACCGAATGCTTGGAGTTTATTTAATCGGCCATACAATTTGTGTTGTCCATCTTAATGCGATTCCGGTATAATGAAGTTGGTCTTAGGTTGGGTAGTTACAACGTCACTTACGTCCAATTCTTTTATGTGTGATCTTCTCACTGCATTATCCTATATACCATTTTCCTGAAAAACAATACATTCCTTTTACATTAAAGAAGCCAAGCAATATAATTTGAATTAGCTGATTGGGCGGGAGCTGCAGGATTGGTTTTAACCCTCTTGCTTTATTTCCAAGCAGTGAGTTGCTGCAAGTTTTCACATGCTGGGCTTCCTATAAATTATTTGGCAGTTGGAACATAGAATAAGCTATTATGTTCACCTCACTAATCTGCCCCAATTGAAGAACTTTTCTTATAATAAATGCAAGGTAGCCGGTACTAAAACTGAAAATAAGTATGATTTATTTTACTGTTCAGGCGTTAAGAGTCATCAAGTATGCCGTGGGAAAGTCTGGTGCAGAGTTCAAAAGGGAGATGCAAAGGAATTCTGTTGCTGTGCGGCAGCTAATTCACTACAAGGGTCACCCTGATCCTTTGAAAGGTGATGCATTGAACAAGTTTGTGCGTGAGACAGCACAGGAAACCCTTTCTGTCTTATTTTCATCAGAAGACAGCAAAGCTCCACCAACAGAAAGTAGCCTCCGCAGTCGGATTCAAGGATTTGGGAACACAAACTATGAGATGCCATCAGAAGACAGAAAGTCGTTCATCAGTGAGGTGGTTGACATTGGAAGTGCAACAATTAAGCAGGGATTAAGCAGTTTAGCACAATCCCCATCCTTGAAGAGAAGTAGTGACAGTGGGAGTTACAGAAGCCCAAATCTTCGGGGGTCTTTGACTGCAGATAGTGATTGCTCCAATCGGTATGAAGGCATTAGGTCTACTGCTGAAACTTACAACTCTTCTCGCTTTTCAAACAATGCTGGTTCGAGGAGTTGGGGTCAACATCCAAGTGAACCCGAGTTAGAAACAGGTAATAAGGACTCCGGTTCCACTTATAATCAGAAGAGCCGCGAAGAAAAATTGTTGGAGACCATCGTGACTGCTAGTGGTGTTCGATTGCAGCCTACTCGGGATGCACTCAATGTTTTCCTGGTGGAGGCCTCAAAATTAAATGCTTTATCATTGGGGCATGCTATTGAAGCAAAACTAAGATCCCCTTCATGGCAGGTTTGCGTTTTATGTCATTGTTTTAGTTCATACTCGAAACAATCTTGGCTTTGTAGTTTCTTCCATCATTTTTATTCTTATTTGTTATTTTTTCCTTAAGGTACCATCTTATTGCATTGGTATGAGGAATTTTTTAACCTACAATTTCAGAAATGCCACTTCTTCAGGTTCGTATGAAAGCCATGTGCGTTCTTGAGGCAGTTTTGAGAAAGAAAGAGGATGATCATTTTTCAGATATTGTGTCATATTTTAGTGACAACAAAGATGTGGTGGTCTCATGTTCGGAATCTCCTCAGGCATCTTTGCGGGAGAAAGCAACTAAGGTGAATTTTGGTTATTATATTGTGTTACGCAGAAGCGAGAAAGGAGGTGGGGCTGTCGGGAGTTTTTAGGAGATGTGTTCATGTGTTGAATTTCTATTATAAATCTTATTTCATGTAGGCAAAATTGAGGTCTGGAACTGAAGTATACATATTTACATTCATGAGATATTGTTTATTTTTGTGATACGATATGCCACGCATACTCGTGAATTATCTAGGATTCTCTAAACTTAAAATTCACTATGAATCTACAATACTCTCCGAAAAAGCAGTGAGGTGGGTCGGTGTTCATGCTACCAGTTACTGTCACTTTAGAAAGCACTAACTAGCAGCGGGAATTTTGTTCCCCTTTCTTTATTCTGTACCTTGAAATCTTAATAAATCAGCCTTGATAAGTCTGACAGAGAGGATGCATTCCTTGTTCACAAAAATGCATGGGTCTCACAAAAATGCATGGATAAGTCCTGCACCGAAAATGGTTTGTTGTTAGGTGTCCCTTAATTTATACATTTGGTACACGTGTCAATACATCAGTCAGATGCTGTCATCAGGCATTCAACCGCTGCTTTTATAGATTGTTATGAAATATTCACTCAGGGAATATAATCAATCTTGCTTATTACATCAACTTACCAAACTTTATTATAATTTTAGGTGCTAAGTCTTCTGGGTGGGGAACATATTGGTGGGGTCCATCATGAGGCGAAATCAAGAAAGATCTCTCAGCCTTCAATAATTCCAGATTTGATAGACACAGGTGAGGATACCTTGGAAGATTTTAGAAAAGCCGAGGTTGAGCCAAAAATTACAAATGTAACCTCTACTGCTCCGCTGATCAATGACTTGCTTGGTGACGACTTCGGCGGAATTCGTGATAGCACCAACACTCATAAACTTGAGGATGATCCTTTTGCTGACGTGTCATTTCACGTAAATCAGGCTAAGGACCATGCTGCTGATATATTTTCGGGGTTGCCTGTTGATATATCGAGCAGTGCAGAAACCCATTCAGTGGTATATCAAATGGAGTCGGGAAACCATGGAACATTCGATCTTTCTAGATCGAGGCCTGAGCTCGCCAAGGAGCACAGCAACCTTGTAAAGGATGCTACCAACTTGATGGATGGTTTATTGCTCAATGGAAATGATCCATTTTCAAAGCATAATGGGCGAGATTCTGAGAAACATGGCAACATTGCAGGTTCAGTTTCAATTGTCAATCAAGATAATACCAAGTCCAATGATGTCTTGATTAGTGGTATTGCTTCTCAAGGAATGAATGCAAATCCCATGTTTCCCGTGGGTGCTATGGCATATAATTTGCCACCTGGCGTCATGTTTAATCCAGCAGCATTCACATCTCAACCAATGAACTATTCTGACATGGGAACCCTCTTTGCTCAGCAGCAGCAGTTTCTTACTACATTGTCTAACTTCCAGCAACTAGGGAGTTTGCAATCAAATAAGAGTATGAATGCTGGTGGATCTAGAGTAGGAAATTCGTCACCACTTCCAGATATTTTTAATCCTGTCATAGCTACTGAACCTCCTGCTTCACTGATGAATGGCTCGAAGAAAGAGGACACCAGAGCATTTGACTTTATCTCTGTAAGTTTGAATTCTTTCCATATTTTGTATATTAAAGAGTTGCATGCTGTCACCCTTCTCATTCAACCTTCAAGGGTCTTGGCTACTTACAAATAACACTTAAACCTCAAATCCGTAAAGTGTTTTTTGGAAGTCTGATAGGATTGGAAAATGAGGGAAATGACCAGTAATCACAATTAATCAACGTGTTTGCGATCATGAAAATGGGCCCAAGGGAAAAGTGAGGCCCGGATTCCAGTCCCTTATGCATGGGAGAATGAATCAGACCTTTGGAGATAATATTAATAGTCCTCTTTTATCCTATTACGTGAAAAGTCCAACTTGCCCGTAGAATAGACACATGGCTGTTGTTTGCACTAGTGCTATTACAAGAAGCTTAAAGTAGTTTTAGGTTCACTGAGTCTCAAGCATAGGAATATTACAAATTTGGCTGGCTTATCCGTTTCTTATTTGTTTTTGTTTTGATACTTTCAACCTGGTTTACATGAGAAAGAAAAAAAAAATGAATTAGTTGATTGCAGGCAAACACTATGCTCCATGAATGTCAAATTAAATTATCAGAACCTAGTTCTATTAGGAGTTGGGTCTCGTTCCACTTTTGGAGGCTGAAGTTGTTTTAGTCTATTATTTTAAGCTCGAGTAGTTTGGAAGCTAATTAGAGCTGTGAGGCAAGTGCTACCTCTTAAGCAATCGAGCTTGAGATTTTTTTGTTGAAGCTATTTTATCAAATTTGTTTTCTGATGAAATTAGAAGTGAACTATAAGAAAAATTGTAAGTAGAGCACCAACCAACTATATATTGAGAATAGCCTTATGATACTGATGTTCACAAGTAAAAATAACAGTACATTATTAGTTTATGTTGTACAGCCTAATGTTACTTCGCTCCAAGTACTTATTTGACTAAATGTGGAAATTATATTTTTTGACCCTGTTGTGAAAAAGATTAATCTTTGCCCTTAATATTCTTCGTTAGATGGTTAGATTATATGTCTTTAACTTATGTCTAAACTTTAAGCATCCTGTGCAAAAAACCTTCCGGTCATCAACTGCATATGTAAGCTTTATAAGGCTGTTTTACAAAAGAAATGTTGTACCCTCTATATGGATCTTAAATGCGAGTTACGAATTTAGAACATCTTAAACATAATTGAGTTGCATAATTTTGAGAGTTGAAATTGGCTTGCGTGGTAAAATTTTGTTGCTGTTGCAGGATCATGTGGCGTCAGCTCGTGACCGTAAACATATGGTTTGAAGCTGTTGGAACAACCCCTATAATGATATGAAGCAGCTCACAGAATCTATGAAACCTGAATCTTGATTTGAAAAATGTTGCTCTCTCTTTGGATGTATAATGTATCTCTGTGGTAAGAGGTTGAAACTATGTCTGTTTTGACATTTATAAATTTCAGTGTTAAGTGTTGGATAATGAAAGGTCAGAAATTCTTGGGGTGTGTGAAAAACGAACCTGAACTCAGATATGGGATTGGAAATCAAATATGTTCGATTGCGGTGTTTTATTCTTATTTGGTACATTGATACGTGTATTTTATTATTTTATGATGACTATCGTTATGGAAATGCTCTGTATCATTTCCTGACTAGCCTGTACTTTTACGTTGAAGGATACCTCGTTTTTCCAGTTAAGAGGTAAATTTCTTGTGTATTTTTTTTTTAAGAAGCACAATAGTAAAATAGAATGTAGTTCTTGATAAGAAATATTTTAATTTTCTATGTAAAATCTAATTATGGGCAAGATATGACATAATTATATTAGTTATTCAATTAATTAATATCACTCAATAAGTGATCTAAATAAAGTAGAGTTCACGGACTACGTAATTAATATGATGAGTTAGACTTGGTAAATACCTAATATTATTAAAGTTAGGTAATAATGAGTGACCAACCGTTTATTGATTATTGTCCTCAATAAGCTAAATCAAACACAACTCTCTGTTCTCTCTTTCGTAATTTTGAGAGATGGTCCCATATGAAAAATATAAGACCATTTAGTTGAGGAAGACTGTAAAACCGACCCCATTCATGATCCAAATCGTGTTCGTGATCCAGATCGTGTTCAATGTAATATTCATGGTGATCGAATACATAGATTCAATTAAGATACACTTCCGCTATTTAAATACGATTGTTGATTATTCGATATGAATGCCCGTAGATTAAAACAATAGTTTTCATATGATTAATTCCAAATTTCCAACAATTCTAACTTTGAAGGTGGAATGTTCATTTGCAACAGTTCGTGGTGACTCTAATATCACTTCATTACAAAATATTCTTGCTCTCTTCTTCAGGAAAAGAAATGCTAAATATTAATACAATACAAAGACAAGGGGCGACTTGAAAAATTTGACAAACTAGGCAGTGCATTAAATAATTGAAAACCAACATACCCAGTAAGTTTAAACTATCATAGTTGGATCTCAGAAGGGGCTCATGCACATAACTAAAAGTCACCAATTTGTGAAAAACTGACAGCTCTGAACTGCAACTTCTGGTAGTTCATGTCAACAAACCTATAATTGATTCAAAATTACTCAGCCCATTCGCGGAATATCATGACGAATCAGTACAACAGATTGAGCAATTTTTCAAAAGCATGACCTCTAGAAATGACAATAATCACCTCATGTTCCTATAAAACCTACAAATCGTGATACTTTTAATTTCTCTTTTTCAACCAAAGATTCACTTCATCTCAGAGTACTGTAAGTAATGAACTCAGTCGAAGTAAACTGAAATGGTTGGTGTGGGATAGGATTCCTGAAATAAAGAAGATAATCATAATATTAATATTATAAAAAGAAAATTTACTTTTTTTGAAGTGGTAAAATTTTCACTCACTGTCGAGGGCCATAAACTTTGATTTGGCGCACATGAGTGTCCCTTCCATTTAGGTGATTAGACAAGACAGCAATTTGCAACATGAATGTATTCACAAATGTTTCCCTGATACATATAAACAAAGGAGTTTGTTTAGTTTCCTAAGATTAAGGACATAACATTGCCTCCTTCGGCACAGAAAGATTTACTATAGATCATCCCATGGATTGGTAAATTTAGAACTGAAAATACAAATATTAACTGTTGACACGCGTAACAGAAGCACATCAATATATTTGACTAACACATGCTGTTATATGTTCAGCCAGCATAAGTCACAACTTTAAATGAAAACAAAAAAATAAATAATCTGTTGCTAACCTTGGATCCGTCCCAGATAACGGTATGTACACCCATCCAGTTGGCTTAACAAGTTCCACTGCCTTTATCTCCTGTACAATCAATGGCATGGCAAGAAAAATCAAGTAATATATAATTCATGCATTCTTTGATAGAGATCATGTTACCACGATTAATAACCAAAATCAATTAGTATAAATAAAACAGGATAGGTTTTTGTGGTCCTAGTGTAGAAAATAGTAGATCTGGATTATCCGTGTGTCCATATAGTACATACATGCTCTAAATCCAATCATTAGTCAAACCGCAAATACATGTAGCATTACATTGCATTATATTGCTATTAAAAAAAAAAAAAAAACTAGTTGAGATAGGAAAAAAGCAGCAAATCTAGCATGTAACAGAGGGGCATGTCCATCCGCCAACACTTCTCCAACAATTTAGTTCAAATTTAAAGGAAAAATAATTCAAATCTTTGAAGGGTGATATCTTCCTTGGTTTATTCTTTTTAATTGACAAATATATCAAATCAATCATCTTTTCACTATCTAGGATACATATCGTAAATCTAAAAAGTGCAAAAGTTTTCGTAGATAAAAATTTGAAAAATAGTAGCATCAATTAAAAAAAGCACCAAATTATAGAAAAACATTATATTGCTCATGTAAAATTCATAGTTAGCAATCTAGAGAATATCTAAACCCATGATATAGAAAAATAGAAGTGAGATAGTAAAAAATAAAAAATATCACTAGTTTTCTGTTATCGTATGTTTCGTAAGAAAATGGCCCCAAAATGGAAAATCAAAAAGTTCTTTTATAGCTTCACCAATTTTCCTTCATTTAGTTAGCCATTAGATCATGGTTATCTCATTGAGTGGTTGAGATTGCCCCTATTCCACACTTGCACTTTTTTCCAAAAAAATTAGAGAGTATGAATATATAAATATAAACGGTTCAAACAAGAACCAAGCCTTAGAGTAAGAATATAAGAATGCCATTTTTCTGTGTAAGGCTATTTTTAATAGTGTTAGGTACTACTTTTAATTATGATTTAATTTTATAAATAGCAATACTATATATATATATATATATATATATATATATATCCCTCTTAATATAATTTGAAAACTTGCTGAGCCTAATTGGCTGCTCCGCACGCTTCGGAAGCTTACTTGGCAACATTACATGCTTCGGCTTTTGATTCGGATACATTCCCTAATTGTTTAAAATAAAATACTTAATAAATAAGATTACATGCTTCGATTTTTGGTTCGGATACATTCCCTAATTGTTTAAAATAAAATACTTAATAAATAAGATTTTTATATGTCGTGTAAATCCTCCAACTCCAAATTAAATAGGATTCTTTATCTTATAAGACTTCCCAAATAAATAAGATTCTTATATGCCGTGTAAATCCTCCAACTCCAAATTCTTATCGTATAAAGCTTACTTGACAACATTACATCTTAGGATTCTTATCTTGTCGTGTAAACCAAAAAAAAAAAATTAGCTTTATATATTATTTTATTTATATAATAAAAAAAATACTATAATTTTACAAAAAAATATATAGCCACTTGCATATTATATCTTTTCAATCCAACCATAAATAAATTATTTAAATCTTTTTAGAATATCTATAAAAATACATTGAAATAGTTATAGAATATTATATGATCTTTCTAATATATTTTAAAGAGTTGAAATAGTTATACAACAACATATGTGTTTTTTTTATTATTTTATGTTTTATATTTTTTTTTTCAAACAACCCGTGTAGTACACGGGTGTCGTACTAGTATACAACATTTGTAAATTATAGCACCATATGACATAAAAAATAGAATCATCCACAATGAATAGTAGCATCGTATATGATACTCACACAAGAACTGGCTTTTATTAGAACTCCACCAATGTATATACATAGGTATATAATATTACCTTCAAGTTGTGGAAACCATCGCCAGCTCTAACTGATATCTTACTAGGTGTGTAACTCTCATCAAGCTTGAAATCAACATACAGAACAACTAGCTTCAGTTTTACTTTCTTCTGAAACTGGATATTAACTAGATGAGGCTGCGCACCATCTGATCTGAAATCCACCAAAATATTGCAAAAACAGGCTGATATAAATTAAACAACTCGAGCGTCTATTTTTTCACACAGGTTAAGAAATACACAATCTCAAAATAACACTAAAGGATCTAAGATATCCAAGCAAATATAAGAGCATGGCTCATCAAAGACAGCAACTTTAAGCACAACTTTCACAACTCTTAATATTCATTAAAAGCAGAACCAATAGAGCAAAGATGGCGGGTACTGACTGCCAGTAGGTATCTAGGTTGTCATCTCGAAGAGAAACGACACCATTTCCAGGCTTGCAAGAGCTGACGCTCCATGCAGCCATTTTTGCCATTTCACGGAGGTCATCTTCCACCACAAGCAGCTGGTTTCCACAGGTCAGCTTCCCTTCATCCTCCCCCTCCGACGAATCCGCCATTTACACCGCAAATGTCAATTTAGGGATATGGATATAAACCCTAATTTTACGGTTGGTTCTGTATGATAATTCAAAACATAAAAATCAGGTGATTAAGCTNGGAAAAAAAAAAAAAAAAGAACAAAAGAAAGAAAGAAAGAAAGAAATTCACATCAGGTAACTTGATTGAATTACTTATCGGGTCATTTTATTAGAAGGAATTAGACATGCCAAAACGGGCGGGCGGGGCGGCCAGCACGCAGCCTGCCATTTGGCAGGGTAGGGCGCCATCTAGGCGGGCCTGTGAAATGGCAGCCCGGCCCAACCCCGCCATGGGCCGCGGGCTACGCGGGCCAGCCCGCCTCATAATAGATAAAAAAACCTGGGAGAATATGAATTAAAACATAAGTCATTCAATAATCAAAAATCACATTCATTTCAGAATTAGAGAATTTTAGGGTCAGCCATTTCAGAATTCAGAATTCAATAAACTGAAATCAACAAATCAGTTCAAATCTTAAATCATACTTTCATTTTGAGGATATGTTCAGCCATCACTACCAGAAGAAAGCCTTGCCGACGTTTCCGTTGCCGTTGCTGCTTGGAGTCGCTGCCGCTGTCCCGCTCGCCGGTCGCGAGCTCGAATCCGCCGCTTCCTTGGCGCTCGCCGTCGCCTCTCCAAGGTCGCCGCCGCACACCAATCACCGGTCAGGCGAGGATGGCCGCCTGCCGCTTGAGAAAATGAGAGTTGAGGATGAGGTTAGGGTTAGCAAAGGGAAAAACGAAAAAGGCCCGTCTCTCTTTGACTGTGTTGTGAACTTTATGATTTAAAAAAACTTGGAAAAAAGGAAAAGAAAATAATCAAAGAACAGAAGCGTGCGTGAAGGACTGAAGTGTTATTGACACTTATTTGTGTTAATGACTGAAGGGTGAGAGGGCAGCAGGTTACAGAATCTGAAGAAATCACCTCAAACCCACAACATGTTTCCACTAAAGTTTATGCTAATTATACAAACACTTTACCGAAAATGGAGAAATGACAAAAATAAAATTTACAAATAACAATAGATACAGATTGTCTCCAATAAATCAGTATTCAATAAATGCACAACTCTCAGAAATCATCTGAAATTCAGAATCCTATTCAATTCAAGAGCAAGCCCATCAAAAAATTCAAGTTTTTTATTAGTATTACAGTAGGTCACAGAAGCAGATTGGTTCAACATGTCAGTATGTCACAACAATTTGGAAACCCACAAGCCACAACCGTACAGCTCAAATCATAGGCATAAAAATTAACCCAAAAAAATATGAGCTCAAATTGGGTGGGTGCAACCCGTACAATGAATCACGACTCACAGGCCCAAAGAAGAATGAGAGATTCAAAGCCAGAAAAGAAAATTACGAATCTGAGTTGCAGCCCTTACGAGGGGATTTGGGTGGCGAACTCAATTGAGAAGACGAGTGTCACGACGGCCTGCGGGGTGGAGTGTGTGCGGGAGCAAGAACGACCGAGCGAGGCGATGTGAGATTTCAAAATTCCGGCGATTTTGTGCGCCGACGCCGAGCAAAGGGAGATGGAGCGGGTGATTTTGTGCACCGTGCGGCGGACGGGCGGAGAAGTGCAGTGCTAGGTGGGGTTTTCTGGAGGATGAGACAATGAGTGACCGTGGACGATTTGTTCCTGGAGGATAATATCTGCTTTGTCGATGGAATTGGACTATTGGAGTGATAAATTGGGCCTGCTTAGTGCTTTGTGGTGGGCGGCCCGTTAACTAATGGCAATTGGATTGAATAATATATATTGGGCCTTTTTTAACTTATATAATATCGGTTTTTGGTTCGGTTCGGTTAACCGACGGATTGTAACCAAACCGAACCGAAAACCGAAAAATTAAGAAACTTAAAACCGATAATCGAACCAATTTGTCGGTTTCGGTTTCGGTCGGTTTTGGTCGGTTATCCAAAATTTGTGCAGCCCTAATAGAAACACACACACACGCACAAAGATAAAAAACCGGTCACTTCATACCAACACTACCGTCTACCACCGATAGCCTCGCCGCCGCTCCTCCGTAGACATCCAGCCCATCAACATGCACAGATCGCCAGCCCCTCCACAAACACACACTGATTGCAGTCTGCACACACACACACACACTTTTTCTGGGTATCCGACTTCTACTGCCAATCTCCGGCCGCCCGCCGCGCTCCTCCCGGCACATCCTGCCGCCGTCTTCATATGCCTAGTCCCGCCATATCACTTCGACGGCCAAGGTTGAATAGCTAAAACATCGGCCGAGATTCAACCGGAGAAAAAAGNTCCCGGCAACGATTTATTTTTCTCCGGCAGCTTCTGCGGTTGTCTGCATTTGATAAACTCCGGGGAGTCTAACTCTAAGAGTGGCGTCCGGCAACGATTTGAAGGGATAAGGGAGGTGACGATCATATTTTTTTCCTTTTTTGGAACTTTTTGTAAGACCAATTTTTGGGATGGAGCTTTTGGGGGCCGAAGTGGACAGAGAAAGGGATCCCATGTGTTTTGATGATGATGGAATCTGATTTGATCAATTGACCCATTTTTACAAAAAAAATAAAATAAATTATGATATAAACAAAAATGGTTTAAATGTTTTATATTCAATTATTTAAAATTAAATAAATATAAAATGTTGACAAGTATATGTAAAAAAAAAAGGTAAATAGAACCGACATTGATCCATATTAACCAAAATTTTAAAATATAAAACGATAATCAAGTCGGCATATAAAGTTCTGAACCGAAAATTATATTTCGGTCAGTTTTAGTTTTGATTGCTATACGGTGGAGTATGTGAGACATTAATGTACATTTTATCTAACAATATTGTGCACGACTTTAGCCGTTAATATTCTGCCTAGCAGACATTAACAATATCATGAACGACTTTATACGGTGCAACATGTTGTGTTATAAGGTGCAACGCATTACTGTATAAAGTGCAACGTATTAATTTTGGTACGTTAGTATTTTTATGTTTTTCATAGATGATGTGATAAAGTGCAACGTATTGTTTTATACAGTGCCACATTCCGTTATATAAAGTGCACTATTTATTTATACATTCCCATATAAATTATGTATAAATTATGTGTACAATTGTACATTGAATTAATCTAAATAATTAAAATAGTTTTTTTAATTATTATTTTTATTATAATTTATTTATTATTGCAAAATATTTTTATATTATTATGTATATTATAAAATACATTTTATATTTTAATATTTATGTTTAATAATTTATAATATTTATAGTAGAAAATATAATATAAAAAAATATCAAAATCAAAAAATCTATAAAGTGCAATTGAGCAGACAATAATGTGCAATTCGTCTAATATTATTGTGCAATCAACCGATCGAGTATTTTTTATGTGTTTCAAATTTATAAACTTCAATAATGTATATTTCAATTATCATTATTTTTTGAATTTATTAATTTTTTTATATCGTAAAAATATACTTAATATTTATATTTTTTATATAATATTTTATATTGTGGTTTGTTAATGAATAAATAATATAAATAACTAAAATTTTAAAAGTAAAAAGGAGAATCAAACCGACATGAAAATTCACACAAAAAATTTAGTTCGTATGGTTTCGGTTGTTGTTTTGCAATATAATTTATATAATTATTTATTGAAATAAATAATATGTAATCTATAACATATAAAAAAAGTATTTTTTATATAGTTTTCTGCGTGAATTATACACTAGTGTGCTATCTCACATGCATTAATATGCAATCCAACTAACTGTAATGTGCATTCGACATTACTAGTACGTGGCCCGTGCGATGCACGGGAAAATAATATTTTGATTGTATTATAAATTAAATAAATAAATAACATTAATCATGATTTACCCATTATTTATAAATTAAATCGGGTTGTACACAATCCGACCGGATGGACCGAGAACCGGTTTATAATCGATTTAGTGCGCTTGAATAAAATATTTGCTATCGAATCCGCCAACACCAGTATGTTGGACTGGTAAGATCGATACAATTTTCTAAACAAATTTTGTTACATGAAAAATTATTTTAAATAAAATTACATATTTAAATAAAACAGAGATTTATAAATTGTTTATCAATTAGTTTAAACATTTGAATTTATAAATTGTTTAGATATTTAAGTAACACTTTTTATTTAAATTTATTACAAAAAGTACTATATATATATATATATATATATATATTAAAGTATTATGTATTAAAATCTGAACAACCACAAGACGGTCCGATTCTGAAAACCTTATATTTACCGTACATTAATAAAAATGATAATGAAATAAATATTTTGTTCACATAAATAATAATAAAATGATATATAAATATTCATAAATCATTAATCATGTTGTCATAAAAGTATTGTTAATATGATTATTTGAAGTTTGGACTACATCACATTCACGTAATAAAGTATTTTCAATATTAAAATTTATATTTAGGTTCAATAATCAATTTGGTCTGGTCAAACTGATACATAAATTAATTACCTCGGACCAACCAAGTTATGTCAAGTTTTTTGACTATTTTAAATATCATCTAAAAGTAATTCAATCAAAGTGGGCAGTACCCTAATTCAATCACCCGATTGATCCAAAGTAATTTCCTTATTTTCTTTAAATATAATATTTAATTTTATGAAATAAAAATATTTTATGATTCATATGTCTACACCAAATGATAGTATATTAAGATTATAAATTATATATCCAAAGATAAACTATTTATTTTTATTTTATCCATATTAATAAAAAATAAACATAGTAATTTTAAAAAAATTAAGATTAATTGATTGGGTATACAATTTAAAAAATATTTTTAGCGTTCAATATATATATATTTAATATGATTGAATTTTTGGATTAGAATATATATATATAAAATAATTTTATTATTAAAAGTCAAAAAGAAAAGATGCCATAAAGATTACGACTTTGAAAAGTTTGTAACCATTAAGTTATGAACCCTCCGATTTTAAATGATTTATAATTTTTTGAAACATGATACATGCATTTAAAACCCATTAATTTAGGAACCATCCAATTTTTTGATAATGAATTAAAATTAAAATGTAAAATGTAAAAGTTGCTGAAAATAGTATATAATAAATGTGGTTGACTTTTCCTTACTACTATTTATGGTAAATGTTAATTCTTATTATATATATATAGATAGATTATATATTTTAATTTTTATTTTTATACTAAAATAATTGACATAATTTATTATTTATATTATAAAAATTCAATTATTAATTCAAAAAAATTAT